TCATTTTGTTAACTTTTATTACATAGCAATAAAAACTTGACCAAGGTTCTACATCTTCCCCTTTGTAAAACCAAAAAAAAATCTGCACGAACAGCTAAGAAGACAAAATAATTATGAAGAGCCTTTTTTAAAGCCCGAAACACCTCTAAAAAGCTTCTCATGCACATAGGTAGTAAAGGTCAATATAATGGTGGAGAAACATGCTAGTGAAAAAACAACATGCCTGGGTATGTCCTAACCAAAATGTATCTAAATCCAAAAGGGAAAATGTAATATACTGCAGCTTTCCAATTCTTAGATGAATTTCTAGGCATTTTTCCTTTCTTTTAACCAAGTGATAAACCCAGTATGTCTGTTATTTTTCTATTTACTTTACCAGACCAAGCTGTCCAGGCAAATAGGTAAATAGAATGATAAGACGAATGCTTAAAACCATCAACTTTTTTTCATCTCTATCCCCAAAAAAAAAATTCATCTAACCAATCCATCCATCTAACATTACCCACGGGGTGACAATGCTGCTGTCCAAGGGTGACTTCATTGTTCCTCCAAAGAAAGGAGCCACCCAGAGGCAGGAAGTGTGTTACAGGCCCGATCACCAGGTAAATATAAATGGGGAAAAAGCCTAAAAAAGGAATGCAGCCCCCACATCTAAGGATTGGCAAGCTGCAACAGATTACAAAGTTTTTTTTTGAGGTTTAGATACACTTAAAACACTCAATTTTACACTAAAATTGCAATATATGAGGGGGGAAAGGGGGGGGGGGGGCAGGGAAAGACTGTCAACCGCTTGACAGGCTTCATACAGACTTTACATTGAAGTGGGTGAAATTCCTTTTTTCTTTTTTTTATCCTCACTCTTAGTAGGAAATCTTGTATTTAAAGTGCTGTAAACCCTAATAGTTTTCTAAAGCACTCAATATTATAAACAATCACCATTACATTATATATATATTGTAGCAGGTCATCATGTAGAGAGCAAGGAGAGGTCCTGTCCGGGGTTTATGTGTCACCCAGATTCCTCTCTTACACCTTCCGGAACCTATAGCAAGCCCCAGGTTTTACACTTTCCCTCAGTGGCAATTTAGTACATGTGAGGCAAACAGACAGAGCTCTGGAGCCTGGGAAGCAGTCTCAATCTGCTGGAGCACAAGGTTGGTCATGGTGTTTTGCTGAAGCCTGACAAACAATAGGTTTGTACAGGTTGGTAGTCAGGACTATCGTATGATTAGTTAGTGCCCGGACATGGCTAGGATTTTGTTTTTAAAGTGTTTACTTTATTTGAGCACTGTATAGCACTGTATATAGCCTGTGTGTTGCACCTGAGTCTGCTGCTGCAGAGCATTTAACATGTCCCTCTGTGTAGCATTAGCCTGTTGCTGTGTTGCATTAGCCAACACCAACTGTTTTAGAACTTCATCCATTTTCTGTCACTTCAGGTACCGGCCCTTTAAATAGCAGGTTCTTGCTATTACTTGCCCAAAGTTCTCCACCATATGTGAGCTGGGGAATAGGTAGCGGGTGCAATTGCTCCCTGGGGTGAGCAGTCTTCAAAGATTTAGAGACCAGACCAGTGACCTGTCTTCAAACAGTGGTACATTTATTGGTGCAACACACAGGCTATATACAGTGCTGTACAGTGCTCAAATAAAGTAAACACTTCAAAAACAAAATCCTAGCCGTGTCCCGTCACTAACTAAACATACGATAGTCCTGACTACCAACCTGTACAAACCTGTTGTTTGTCAGGCTTCAGCAAAACACCATGACAAACCTTGTGCTCCAGCAGATTAAGGGCTTGTTCACACCAAGCTGCGTCCAATGTATTCCAATGGTATTTTTTGCTCCAGTTCACATCGCAGCGTGCAGTTGCAGAGCAGATCCAGAGCAGGTGAAAAAACTGCAGCAGGCCCTCTTTTACCTGCTCTGGAACACATCAAAAACGCATGCCAATGCCTGGAACACATTGGAAGCCCATTTTAAACTTTAAAAAAAAAAACGCGTCAAAAAGACTAGTGTGCGTGTGCTACGCACACTAGCTAAAGCAATACCCTGTTTCCCCGAAAATAAGACCTACCCCAAAATGAAGACCTAGTACCATTTTTGGGAATTGCTCTAAATATAAGACCCACCCCGAAAATAAGACCTAGTTGTGACCATTCCCAGGGCTGGTGGTGGCATAAGGGGGAACTTGAAGAGCTGCGGGAGAGAATCAGCGTTGCCAGCGCTGAAGGAAGTGAGGCGGCAGCGCAGGGAGCAGAGCCACATAAGCCGATGTTTCCCCTATAGCCGCTTCGCTCATTCTGGTTACCAAATTGCTCTTGGAAAGGTACGGCACCCCTGATTGCCCTGATCAGCCTATTCCTAACTTTGCCATTTTGGATTATTCAATTTAGATTTGCATTAACCTTGGATTGTTATACATTAAAAAAAATAAAATAAGACCTACCGTGAAAATAAGACCTAGTGTGTTTTTTTGAGCCACAAAAAATATAAGACAGTGTCTTATTTTCGGGGAAACACGGTACATTATAGGACTTCTCAAATCTCATAAGGCACAGGCGGTATACCCTATGCAACCCAAGGAAAAGAGGAATCTTTGCAGACCAGGACCTTTAAATAACTTATAAATAAAGCAAATTAAAGATATTTTGGAGGGTTTGAGGAAAACAGCTGAGGGTCGAGTTTTCCTTAAACTTTTAGCTGTAAGGTGTATATAATGGATGACCTGTCAGATGTAAAGGAGAGACGCTGATGAAATACTGACTAGTGAAATGTTAATATATTTCTTCTGCGAACCCGCCGTATTTCTAGGGCTGCAAATGAAGCTACATATTTGCACTGATGATGTTGTTTTCTTTGGCCCCACCAGCCGAGTACCCTCTGGAATTTTGTATCAGAAGCCAGTCGCGAGTATTAGTGACTGCTGTATGGAATCGATTTGCTGCAGCGCAGAAATAGCAGCTGTTACAGTATGTCCTGAGAGGGATTACCGAATATTCTTAAATTGAACTTCAATCCATCTTTCCATAAAAACTATAAGTGGACGCCAGAAACGTAACGGCAGTATCAAGTGCACCTGAGGCATTTACGATACCCAGCAGAATTGTTATAACCAGCCTTTAAAAAGACTTCTTTTTGAAATTTCATTATTCCAGTTGTTCCTTGCTTCTATATATCACACTGTATCAGATTTTTTCTGGCATATACTATGTGGAAACAGTGATATATTAAATGCAGTGATACATAGTTGAATTTCCACCAGGCCCCTAGTAACCTCTCAGGCTCCTGTACTGATTGTGACATCTAGTGGTCAGGAAGATATAGGCAGCTAGAAGGTAAAATATCGCTCTACAATTTGGCCACATACTGACAGGTTTGTGCATTGGTGGATTGTCGGTGGTCGGATGGAGCTGAATGCTGTTAGAACTTAAAGCAAATTTTCCAAAAACTGCTTTTACAAAAAGGTGAGGGAGGTCATGGTGGAGCAGATTCCCATGAGATTATTATTATCACTAATCTGGGCAGCACCGTGGTGTAGTGGTTAGCGCTTCTACCTTGCAGCACTGGGTGTCCCCGGTTCGAATCACGAATATCACTATTTGGTCACAGGTCACTCACTATCTGCAAGGAGTTTGCATGTCAGCACTTGTGGTCCCGGGGCGAATCCCAGCCAGGTCACTATCTGCAAGGAGTTTGCATGTCAGCACTTCGGGTCCCCGGGTCGAATCTCAGCCAGGTCACTATCTGCAAGGAGTTTGCATGTTCTCCCTGTGCTTGCGTGGGTTTCCTCCCACACTCCAAAGACATGCTGGAAGGTTAATTGGCTCCTCTCTAAGTTGGCCCTCTATGTATGTATGTGACATAGGGACCTTAGATTGTAAGCTCCTTGAGGGTAGGGACTCATGTGAATGTGCAACTATGTAAAGCGCTGCGTAAAATTGCCGGCGCTATATAAATACCTATAATAATAAATCAATAAATTGTAACACTATGTAGTACTATCATTTAGAAACACCATGTAGATATTTATCCTGCATGCACGCAGGACTACTGCATAGTAAAAATGAAGAAAAAAAATGTATGACAATATCAAAATATGTAGGATCCTGACAACACTTCTTCTCTATAGATGGACTATGGTGAGTGAGCGGTCACCCTAGTACAGGAAGCGTGTTATTGGCCAGATCACCAAGTAAAAATAAAGGGGGAAAACCTGAATAAAGATATATAAGGAGGCCACTACATTCCAGGCCTAAAATTTATGGGCAAGTATGAGCAAAAAAAAAAAGACATTCAGTACACCTCTGCAATACATGCAAATTTGCCCATATTATTTTTCATAACTCCTAACTTCCTGTGCTGAGCTGACAACGCTACCTCTGTTATACTAAACTCCTAACTTGCGTTATCATCCCTCTCCCAAGTTCTCCCTTTGCTGGACCACAGAACCCCTCCCCTTCTCCTAATCTCCATAATGAAAGTAGAGATAATCTATAGTCCAGCAGCGAAGAACACAAAAGGGTCTCACTGTGCTGCTTGGGATTTCAGTGCAGCAGAGGCAGTTGTCAGCTCATAACAGGAAATTAGAAAGTCACTGGACCTCTGAAAGGGTCAACAGGTATTTTCTATACTTGTAGCATTTGTTTTAAGAGAAACACAGGGAACTGTGCTTTAAAGGGGCACCCCCTACGCTTAAATGTAAATAAATTAGAGACGCGTGTACTAAAGACACCCACTCTAAAGTATTACATATATTTAGGATGTTTATAAAGTGAATGTGCTATTTTATACATGCATTGCAAGAGCTTAAAGGAGAACTATGAGGTGAGTGATTTTCACTGAGCCTCATAATCTGAGCAGACCTGTGACAATGAAACTGTCACAGGTCGGCTCAGTAGATCGGGAAGTGAGCGAACACATACCGTCGCTCGCTCACTTCTCAATCTATCCCTGCAGAGAGCCATGACCGTCACTAACGGCTCCCTGCAGGGATTCACCCCCTCCCCTCTCCGATCCTCCAGCGCTGACTGACAGAACGGACAGGGGAGGGGGGGCATAGCTGGCTCTGCCTCTGGATAGGCAGAGCCAGCTGTCAATCCCGCAGCTGGGTGGATCTCGACAGCAATGTCGGGATCCGTCACGGCTGCGGCGTCTCAGTATATCGGAAGCTTCAGCTCGCGGTATACTGAGCTTTGGGTCACAGGAGAACGCTAGTTTGTGTTCTATGGGGAAAAGCCCCGACCCCATAGTTCTCCTTTAATACTATCATGTATTTTATTTATGTGTACCTTTCTAGTGTTAACAAATTACGAGAACATACACAGAGCTGAGAGCAACTGAATTCGAGGTTTATTAGCACGAACGGAGGTTTAAATATACTTTACATTGTCAGTCTATGGGGAGTTAAATTTAGACGGCTCTGAGTGTGTTTACATCTGAGTCTGTCTACGTCCGCACTTACAGACTTTCAAATTGGTGGACCTGAACAGGACTAGTGATGGGCTTGGGCGTGTTCACAGCTCTACGTGCCGAACCTGCCAGGAAGCTGACAGCGCGCAGCGCCAATCACAGGTACTGAGACATGTTCCCGGTCCGCAGCTGCAGAGATCGGGAAATGTCTCAGTGCCTGTGATTGGCGCTGTGCGCTGTCAGATTCCTGGCGGGTTCGGCACGTGGAGCTGTGAACATGCCGGAGGCCATCACTAAACAGGACGAATAGGAGATAATTGGTGAAATCAGACACATGTCCTCTTACATGCGATTCCCCATAGACCTAACAGGGGTCTGTACAGCTCAGGTTTTTCCTCCATCGCAAAATAAATAAAAAGCGGAATGCACACGGATGTCACAAGAGGATCTGTGCATGGATACCCTGATGATAACAGACGGCGCCTGTGTGAAAGGGGCCTTATTGTCCAAGATGGCTGGAGGCAGGTCAGTGACCGGGCTAGATTATTTAGCTGCAATGGACAAACGTTAGGTCACCAGCCCGGCTGAGTTTCCTGGCAAAGGTGTCTGGATCACAAGTACTACCAAACAGAATATCAAGTCCTTTGTCAGGTGAAACAGCTCCAGTACATATGCGCTGTGTTTTAAAAAAAGAGTATTAATTCCGTTTGCCTGAAGTTCAGCTTCAACTCCCTCCGCAAGTCCAACGTCGTCCAAGAAATGAAAGCAATGATTACTCGTTTTTACAAAGGCATCCTCCAAAAACCACAGAATTGCTGCTATTCATCTAGAACCACACACTTAAAGCACCAGGGCTGCTTGTTCTCGTGTAGGAAATAAAAAGCAGCATGTTTCTGAACTGGATTCAAGCAATGCACTATTTTTACACAGACTGCATCTTTAGGACAAAGACTTGAATCACCTCTGGGAAAACATCAAGGGCTCGGCAGTGTGCATTCAGCAGCACCGTCACCTACTTGGCCTGGCATAGCGAACAGAACCACTATACAAATCCCATCGATTTGTCCTAAATCCGCAATTACAGACACTGCCAGTGATGGCGATCCCACCGGTGCATCCCAGCGCTCGGAATATGGATTTAAATGACATCACATCTGTTTTTAATACTTTGGGCACTTTTGAAGAGTGAGCTTATTGTACTTGAGCCACAAGTAAAAGCACAGCACCTGTTGTAAAGAGCCGGGCGTCTCAGTCTGAAGGCTTGATATGTCTACGCAAAGCTGGAAAGAAGTTCAATGAATGGTTTGAATTCAACGATGAACTTCTGGCAAATATCTGGCTGGAAGTAAAACCTTTTAAAAGGGGCAGGCCAATGGCAAGCTATCATCTTTTGGCCTGGTGTAACCCCCAAAAGGTTCCAGTGGCTGCTGAATTTCCAGATCGGCCTGCAGCAACTTCAATTAAGTCTCATTCTTCCTACAGGAATAGACATTTATTTCACCTAGTGAAGAATGCTGCAAGCATTCTTCATGTCACCTGATGACATTTCAAGGAGCCAAAATGAAACAAATGATAGAAAGCGAGAAGAAATATGTGAGATGGTCAGCTCTGTAGGAAAGTGATCATTCGGGCTGGATCAAAGATCGAATGCTGTCTCCAGTGTTTAAAGGATAAGTGCGTGTTAAAAAAAAGTGCACTTATTCTCTACCATATCACACACACGCTATGCCAGTATAGCCAGCCCCCATTTCCAAATGCATACTTAAAAAAGAACTCCAGCTACTTTACAAATTAAGAAGGGGAACAGGGAAACTAAAAAATGAGTCACCTCGTCAGGTGTATCACATGCTCAGCTATGTCCTGTGAATTGTATAATCCATTCTTCTCAATACTAGACACAGTGCTCCAGTCCCGACATTGGCTATGAGCATTCCTGCTCTCATAGAGTGCAGGGCTCCTGTCAATCAACCACACCTCGTCTCCCCTCATCCATTCCTCCACTCTACATTCAGGTGCTGATCTTCAGCATGCCGGCTCTGCCTGTTCAGTAGATTTCCATATCATTCAATAGGATGGTTTCCCGATTATCTCCTGCCTTGGGAGATAATTCCATAGAACCCTATGGGAATCTACTTCACTTATCCTTTCAAGGAAAACTCTTCTAAGCAATATCTGTAAGTATAAACATCAAATAACTAAAAAGCAGTAGTTCTGGGATGTTATTTGCAGCAATATTGCCACTATTATTATTGGTATTTATAGAGCGCCGACAATTTACGCAGCACTTTACACAGTGCGCATTCACATCTGTCCCTGCCCTCAAGGAGCTTACCATCTAAGGTCCCTATCTCACATGCATGCATACATACTAAAACATTTATAATGCTGATCAGTGATCCAACCAACTGGTATCTATCCAACAATAAAAATATCTGTTTTGGTTAGACAACCCTTTAAAGAGGAACTGAACTATGATAGCTGGACCCAAAAAGGCAAGCAAAGGACAAAAGGCTAGACACACGTATGCCTGTGGTCTCCCTGCAGCTGAACTCATCCCCTTCACTGGCTTATCAAGCCTTGTTCTGTGTGAAGGTGGCCATCTTGGTAGAGAAATAGAGCTTTGCTTCTACATGTTGGAACTACCCTCCTGATGACCAGTGGGGTAATGATCAAGAAGAAGCAGTAGAGGCGGAGGAAGCACAGAATGAATGAAGCAGACATGGGGAGATCCTTGCACTGCAGGTACTCAGGGATAGCTTCCTCTCCAGCAAGGATAACAGTGAGCAGCACTGTGCTATCTTCACCAAAAATCACATCCAATCTGGTGAGACCAGCAGTCAGAGGAAGCCATGCCTCAGACGATCTCCCACTGCAGACATACAGCTAAGATTCTGTAGGCACTAAAAAGGTAAATCCTTTAGAGTACTGCTTAGGCACAATGAACATTTCTTAATATTCCCTGTACAATAGCAAATCTTTACTTTTCGATTTCAGGTCCACTTACTTCCATTATAAAAATTACAATATAAAAATAAAACCTAAGCTGCAAAAAAAAAAAGAGGGGAATTTTATGGTGCTATTGGTTATATTGAAAAGCAGGGAAACAAATCTGCACAACCTTGACGTGACCCTGGAAGCCATGTACACAAAAAATGGAAGGTTGCTCCACCTGGCACTGATCACTTTATGCTGCATTGTTTTCTTGTTGGCAAATCTGCTGGAATTCTTTCAGGAATACCAGCCAATATACCAATGTAACATTCTCTCGTGCAGACCAATCCCCCCACCCACATCAATGAAACAGCCGTATGTCTACCTAATCACAGTAATTTACATCTTTGTCTAGACAGTATGAACTGCACTTGATCCCGCTGCCAAAAAACCTAAATCTGTAAGGACACTAAAGGCATTGATATTCTGCCTATATACTGGAGCGATTTGGATCTGGAAAATCTATAAAGGTATTTCATCCGTGAAAGTTATACGGTGTTCTAACGATCAATGACAAGAGCAGACAGGAAGCCATGTTAGTGTCTACAGCCGGCTAGATGTGTGATCTCTGCCGCACACCTCCGATGAGTGAGCCAATGGACTATTTAACTTTTTTTTATTGGTATTAAGGAATAAACAGCGGAGGGAATGGATTTATATAATGGATACGACTGCTGAAAGCCCCATGTAAGATCTGGCATGGCGATTCTGCTAAGAATTTTAAAGCGTTTCAAAATAAAATGTTAAAGCAGAGCTCTGAGCTGTTATTAATATGCCCGACAGTCCACTTATGAAGCCAACATAAAATAAAGCTGTACTCCAGGAAGGAGGGTTAATACACACCTGAATTAAGAATCCAGTAGCAGTTTTACCTGCCAAGCTACTTAGCAATCGTGGGATTCAGGAAACTGCTGCTGGACAGCGCAGCCAGGTACTTCACCTCCACTGCAGCAGCAATATAGCTTGGTCAAGGACACTAGCTGCTGATTGGACAGTGAAGAAACAGCAGCACGCTGAAGAGATCACCTCTCTATGCCATTCTCCTTCTGCCAGCTAGTTCGATGCTAGCATATGTATACTGCAGTAGAGTCTGATTATCTCCTAGTGCTGACCCTCCAGTTTCCAATATGAATGCTGCTATGCTTTTATGGGCGTGCTTGCCATGTGTGAAAACTATTTCAGGTGTTTACACTAGTGGCATTTAAAAGACAATGTAATAATTTTTTAGTGGTTATATAATTATGCTAATTTGTGTTTTGTATATATTAGGAGCTCAGCCTTCAATGTATTTCAAAATACTACTTGTATAACTGAAATGTGTATGCAATATCCCTTATAAGGCCAGTGGGAGGTTATGTACGGTTTGCAAATCAGGGCTCTGGTGAATTAATAAACTTGTTTTCATGCAGCGGGAGCTAAAGGGGGAGATATTTAAAGAGCTTCCAGGAGAAGGGGAGCATCAGGAGGACTTCATCAGTGCGAGGATCTCCATTCGTTGCCCAATGAGCAAGCAAGTAAATGTAAAACAGTTGTGTTACCCTATGGAGTACGGCAGTGTGTCTCAACAATGCCTCATAATGTATTTCTAAACTTTACTGCC